GCAAAGTGGAAAAGTACTGATAAAAGCAAACAAAAAATTTTTTCCTAAATGCAAAAATCTCTAAACGAAAGTTGAATTCTAGAATTTTGTAGAAAATTTGAACTCAAATATAAAACTAGAAATGACTTCACGCTGAGTTTAAAGCTTTATATTCTATTCCCATAAGTTCTCCTTTAAATCTTTGTATTCTATCCTTCGCAAATTCGTAAGATTACTCCAGGAAAATTAAAATTGATGGCCTCTCAAAAAACAATAAGAACTAAATAGTGCACCAGAGTACAATTTGTGCTAAAGTGTTTCAAATGAAGTAACGTATCCCATAAACGCATATTAACAACCAAAAAACTTCCGATCAATAATGTTAGGAAATCACAGACAGTACCCTCGGGACGAAAAGAAAGTGACCTTTTTTTTGCCGTCGTCGTCGTCGTTACTCCTGGGTTCTTTTTCTTCTTCCTTAGCATTAAAACGAAGAAAAAATCAAGCCGAAGCAGACACTAATTTGCCCGCTTTTCCGCATGGGTATACCGCTGGTGACAAATGAAATTTGATTTATCCCCTCCCCAAAAAAAGAACTTTTCAAGTCTTACTTTCATCAGCACAAAAATGGAAACTGTAATTAACTGGTCTCTGAAGTTAAGGATGATAACTTAAGAACAACAGACGGGAAAAGAAACAGCAGTACAAACTACGGCTTATTTCTCGCAGAACTACAAAACAAAACTACTGGAACAACAATACAAAATAAATCAATAATAAAAGAAAGAGGAGAAAGGATAAGAAACCTAAACGACAAAACTGAGAACCAACAACCAAACTATTCTGAAACAAATACTCTATGAAACGACAAAAACGACGACAATAAGCGGAATAAAAGCAATAAAGATGACAATCGTGGTGCTCGACAAGAATAATAACGAGGAGAAAGGTGAAAAAAAAAAGAAAAGGTAACAAAACTTGAACTTTACGGGCGTCTGACAATGAATACATTAAAACAAAAAAAAAAAATGCAACCTTACATAAAGCATTAAATAACAATAGCAGATTCAAATAAATAAAAAAAAAATGAGTAAGCCACTGTCCAGAGAAGTGTGTGTCCTGGTGGCTTCGTTCCGAGTTGTTGCCCGAATGGAGACTGGGGGGACTAATAGCGTTCTTGCGAAATACGTTGCAAACGCCACTGGAGAGAGGGTTGCGGCATTTGGCTGCGTAGATGGTATTCAATTGGCGAATAAATGATAGTCAGTTGAGGAATCGATTTTGCGTATTATATTGTGCTGCAGTTTAGCT